AGGGAGTCTGGCCCTCTAGAGATTGTTTTCTGTTGATTCTAATACCGTCAATTTAAACAATATTAATCTGCAAAAAAAATGGAGCGAGGCTTGATCAGTCTGGAGGGAGCCTGGCCCCCTAGGCACCCCCATTTGGGTTTTTGATGATTCTAATACTGACAATTTAAACTATATTAAAGTTCAAATAAATCTGGAGGAGGACTAGATCATTCTGGAGGGAGTCTGGCCCTCTAGAGATTTTTTTCTGGTGATTCTAATGCCGTCAATTTAAATTATATTAATCTTCAAAAAAAATCTGGAGCATGGCTAGATCATTCTGGAGGGAGCCTGCCCTCCTAGGCACCCCTCTAGATTTAATCGGTGATTCTAATACTGACCATTTTAACTATATTAATCTTCAAATAAATCTGGAGGAGGACTAGATCATTCGGGGGGGAGTCTGGCCCTCTAGAGATTTTTTTCTGGTGATTCGAATGCCGTCAATTTAAATTATATTAATCTTCAAAAAAATCTGGAGCATGGCTAGATCATTCTGGAGGGAGCCTGCCCTCCTAGGCACCCCTCTAGATTTAATCGGTGATTCTAATACTGACCATTTTAACTATATTAATCTTCAAAAAAATCTGGAGGAGGGCTAGATCATTCTGGAGGGAGTCTGGCCCTCTAGAGATTGTTTTCTGTTGATTCTAATACCGTCAATTTAAACAATATTAATCTGCAAAAAAAATGGAGCGAGGCTTGATCAGTCTGGAGGGAGCCTGGCCCCCTAGGCACCCCCATTTGGGTTTTTGATGATTCTAATACTGACAATTTAAACTATATTAAAGTTCAAATAAATCTGGAGGAGGACTAGATCATTCTGGAGGGAGTCTGGCCCTCTAGAGATTTTTTTCTGGTGATTCTAATGCCGTCAATTTAAATTATATTAATCTTCAAAAAAATCTGGAGCATGGCTAGATCATTCTGGAGGGAGCCTGCCCTCCTAGGCACCCCTCTAGATTTAATCGGTGATTCTAATACTGACCATTTTAACTATATTAATCTTCAAATAAATCTGGAGGAGGACTAGATCATTCTGGGGGGAGTCTGGCCCTCTAGAGATTTTTTCTGGTGATTCTAATGCCGTGAATTTAAATTATATTAATCTCAAAAAAAATCTGGAGGATGGTTACATCATTCTGGAGGGAGCCTGCCCTCCTAGGCACCCCTCTAGATTTAATCGGTGATTCTAATACCGACAATTTTAACTATATTAATCTTCAAAAAAAATCTGGAGGCGGGCTATATCATTCTGGAGGGAGTCTGGCCCTCTAGAGATTGTTTTTTTTTATTCTAATACCGACAATTTAAACAATATTAATCTTCAAAAAATGTAGTGAAGGCTATATAATTCTAAAGGGAGCTCGGCCTCCTTCAGATTTTTTTTTTCGGTGAGTCTAATACCGACAATTTAAAGTATATAAATCTTTGAACAGTCTGGAGGCATAGAAGATTCTGTAGGGAACCTAGCCTTCTAGGCACCCCAATAAAATTTGTCTGGTAATTCTAATACCGCAGTTTAACATTAATCTTCAAAAACATCTGGAGGATGGCTAGATCATTCTGGAGGGAGCATGGCCCCCAAGGTACCCCCATTACCTACGCTAATTATGGGTAATTATTAAGAATTTTGAAAAGGGACATATTGTACTTTGAACTTCTAAGAGCAGTCTTAAGGGGTTACGCCTACCTGCAAGACCGAAAAAAAGCGAAAGTTTGGATTTTTTTCTCGAAAACGACGCAACATATTGAAAATCGGTTTTCTGCCTTTTATTGAACACACATTAAATGGTACATTTATCAATCGATGCTGTAAAAACGAGGTCCTGGTGCCCCGTACGGCTGCTCCCCGTGGACGATGTTCTAAAAAACGCTTTTTGCGGTGCAACTGCGGTTTGTGATGTAATCATCTGAAATAAAAAAAAACCATGCCAAATCGTTAAGCATGTGTTAAACTAGTCCTTGATCGTTCGGTTTTTTTTTAATTTTTTTGACAAAATGGCGGCCTTGCAAAGTTGAAGTGCCGATTTTTGATCCTTAAAATTTGTCTTTGATCGGCTGTAAAAAATCGAAATTAAATGATAGACGAAATCCGAACGATCGTGGACTGCACAAAATAGTACTGAACAGAAATCAAAACGAATCGGACGAATCGAATGTATACATTTCGAGAAATTTTTGGCACCGGTTTTGAAAATATAATTCCGAGATAATCGCGTTTAAAGTTTCAAGTTGGGATTAGTCCACTATAAGTGAATATTTTTGTACGTCGCATAACTTTCACAATTTTCATCGGATCAACTTGATCTTTTGAGGAAATATTCTTGACTTTATATACTTTCGATTAGGACAATAAAAAAAATCGATTTTTTGAAAGTTTGCAGGTAGGCGTAACCCCTTAAGATTTAAAAAAATGAGATCCGGGGAAAGAAATAAGTTCAACATAGAAATGCTGAATTATTCGAACTTTGAAAAATGTTGGCGCTCTATAGGATCGCAAATATTTAGAAATCAAGATGTTAGGTCCCTCCCTTAGCTCAGTCGGTAAAGGCACAGCTACAAAGCAAGACCAGTACGATTCCCGGTCCGGTCTTGTCGAGTTGGACTTCCTTGGGCATAGAGCATATGATTGTACTTGCCACACAATTATACGAATGCAAAAATGGTACAGGCATCGAAAGCTCTCAATTAATAACTGTGGAAGTGCATCTTAGAACACTAAGTTGAGAGCACGCAATAAGCTAATATGCGATGAACGGATGAGCTTATAAAAATAATTTTCAAAATAAATTCGATGAGAGTTGGGATAATTCCACGGTTGGCTATGCTGGAGAAAACTCTTAGCAAATTCTGGATAATCTACCAAGGAGAATTCCAAGGGAATCATGAAACTGAAAATTCCATGAGTATTGTGAGCAAAATTTTATGGAGCATCCAAAGGAAATTTCAAAGGGTCTCTAATGAGAGTTCAAAGAGAATTCCTAGGAAAATTGTAATGACAATTCCAAGAAAATCCGTACAAGAACTCCAAAATAGTTCCGACACAAATTTTAAGACAATTGCGATTTAAGAATTCCAAGGGAATCGTAATCTGCAGATAGTTCCAAAGCAATTCTAAGCATAATTTGAATCACTTAGTAGCATTCCAAGGGGAGCTTTCTAAGGAAATTTCGTAGAGCATAGGAGATGTAGTTTTTAGTAGAGTTTCAAGATAGTTCTGACTTCGTACGTCTGAGGAGAGTTTCAAAGGGATGGGGTTGTGAAGCGAATCTTAATGATAATTCTATAAAAATTTAGAAGGGAATTCTGAAAGTAATTCTGATCCTAGTAAATTCTGACCAAAAATCCAAAGAAAACTGAGGACAGTTTCAATGGGCTGGGAATTCCACGGATCTATAATAAATTCTGGAATAATTCCTAGGGAATTTTGATGAGATCCTGAGACAATGATGTAGAGAATCCCTAGGATACTTTTAGAAGAACTTCAATGATTCTCTAGAAGCATTCTAGACTTCCATCTCTAATTTTAAATCAAGCTTCAAAGCAAAACTAACAAATTGACTCGGTACCATACAAAGTACTACCGAGGGGTGCTAAGATGGTGATTTTTGCTAATGTTATCACATTTAATTAAAATAGTTCCAGTATTCCCAAATTGATGAAATTTTGTATTTAGGTTCCATTTGAAGTGCAGATTACGAATATGTAATCAACTCAATACATCTAAAGAACCCAATTAAATCTAGAACTTTTGCCCCACCGGATTCAAGCGATTGAAAAAAAAGGTCCTTATTGACCACTTTGCCAAGCAGTTTTGGCGTGACTTTCTACCAACGATTTCACAAAACTGGACCAACTAATTTCTATTTTTTATGAAACGCACAAATGTTGGCTATTTTTCTTGAGGTTCCAGAATTATTTTTTTCAAAATAATGTTTCATTTCAAAGTTTGAGTGGTAGTAAATGTCATTTTAACTGCTCGAATGAAGTGGTTAATTGTGCTCCTAAAATTTGAGCTCATTCACGTAAAAACCTGACTTAGTACAAACCGCTTGAAATTAAAGCAACGGAGCCACACACCACACTTTGCAACTCGCCTTCCATCGTTTTGTAATCCAATCCCACAAACGGCATCAACATCCCATCCCACTGCAAAACTGCATCAATCTCAGGCATCCGGAATCATCATTCCATTACACAAAGACGGCATCCGTAAATACAGAGCTATCGGATTCAAACTCTGGCTAAAACCATTCCTATATATCATTCTAACAGGCCCAAAATCAACCCATTCCCTGTGATGCAAATTCCCTCACACTCAAAACTTCATCTAGCTCAATAGTTCAACACCATTTCTGCTTCTTCTTGTTCTTCCTCTTCATCATCCTCCTCCTCCACATCTTAGGACCTTCTCTCTTTCGTGTTGCATCTTCTATCTTCGTCACAATCATGCTTCATCATCGTCATCATCCATCGACAACGGCAACAGCAGAAGCAGCAACAGCTAAAACACAAAAACATAGCCCGTTTCACCTTTCGCAACCACGTCGGTCGAAAACTCACACAAAACCGACGACGACGACGATGGCCCAAAGCAGCAGTCAGCAGGAGCGAGGAAAACAGAGCTTTCACGCACACCAGTGAGAGGGGCAATCGCAGTAAGCAGGCCTGCCCGCGGCTAGTCAATAATTCGCTAAAAAGTTGGATTACTGCGATGGAACGGCTATTCTTGGTGCTGCTAGCCCCCCGCCATTCAAGGATGACTTGATGAATCTGCTGGAGCCCGCGATGGATCATCATCTGTGCAAATTTGAAGGACTGCACTCACACACAAACTGTCAAAACAGACGACGATTTGTGGCGGAACCTTCTTGGTGGGGGTGGATTGGGGTAGGCAACATTCACTCGTCTTGGTTCTCGTAACTTTAACACTAAACTTGTTACTCGAAATTGACAATTACCTTCTTCTTTCTTCCGAGGCTGCAAATCCGCATAGGGTTTTCTTGTTTCTATTGGCCACACAAATTACGTCACGGTCACTAGCAGCAATTCTTCGGCTCCCCCTGAAGAACGAAACAACAAAACTCGCACACACAACAGAACAACTATTTTTTCTTCGTTTTTCTTCCGTGGAACGGCAACTAGTTTGTCACCCTCGTCAACACTGCTTCCTCACTTCCAGCTCCCCTTCGGAACCGAAAGAAACGAGAAGGAAAAAAAACACACAGCAACCCACAGGCCTCACACTCTATCTGCTACGCATTCCGCACTGACCGAGCTCGCCGCAGTAGGCTCCTGCGGGTTCACACACCGGGTGCAACAACAATAGGGAAAACAACCGCACACCCGCACCGCAAAAATATTGTCCTCGAAAACTTCCAACTCCCAGCAGCACAATAAGAAAGCTTCTTTTTTTTTTGCTTGCTTGCTCCTATGGGATATACACACAAGACAACAGCCCGGCGCGACCACGAACGACCGCGGAAACGTCCTACCGAGACTAAAGTTCTACTACAACTGACTGCTGGAGCGCGCAGCGCTTCGTGAAACACGACCGAGCACGATTTTCGATCGCAACACCAATACCAATCGTGTAGACGCGAAATCATAGCAATCTATGGCAGTCTAGCAACAGAAAGATGAAGTTTGTGGGCGCGCGCGGAGTGACAGGAGGGAAAAACCTGTTTTTCCTCCCACTTTCCGTGCCACACACCCACCCAACCGAATGACAGCGCGGTGGACGAGCTTTAGCCATCACAGTCTCGCACGAGAGCTTTATGTTTATGCTCTCCTCGGCGAACAGATTTTGACAACACAACACCAACACTAGCTGGGCTCGGCGGTGGGCATGCTGCTACTAGAGATTTTAGGTGAGTGTTGCTTGGTGCACAGGGCGAAGTGGGTGGTGGGAAGTTTAATGTTTTGATGGCGAATGTTGATGGGTACGGTTGTGTGAGTGTTGTCGGTTTTATGCGCAATCGTAGTACGTACCAGACACAGCCGAAGAAAGCGGCGAGCGTGAGCGAGAGATTTGTTTTGATGTTGGGTTTCTGGTAGGGAACCCGGAAAATCGATTGCGGTAGTCGTGCACCAAAGAGGTGAGACAATGTGCCGAAGTTCGTTGGAAGATGGCAGCACTGAGAGAGATAATGTTTTTCAGTTGGGACGCTTTTATAATTTTCCATTTTCCTAGTTAAAATCGCAAAATCGATTGAAAATAAAATTTATTTTCCATTAAGCGTTTCCTATCTTTAAAGTTAAATGAAACAAACTGTGTGTGAGATATTGACGAGATTTATTTCTCGATTGAAAGGCATATGACATCGTTCAAATGGCCGCCTCGGCTTCGCTTATTGGCGTGGATCCGAGATATCGAATTTTCCATGACTCTGGCTCACAAATCGGGCTGAATCTCGTTGATGGCTTGAGTAATGTTGGCTTTGAGGGCATCGGTGGTTTGCGGCTTATTGGCATAGACCTGCGACTTAACATAACCCCACAAGAAAAAGTCTAGCGGGATTAAATCACACGATCTTGGTGGCCAGTTGACATCGCCTCCGGGCGAAATAATCAAGTTCGGAAATCGTTCATGCAGAATGTTGATTTTTCGTGCGACGTCCTGTTGGAACTACATATCGTTCACAACCATATCGCCCACTTTAGGCCAGAAGAAGTCGGTAATCTTCGACCTGTAGCGCTCTCCGTTGACGGTGATGGCCTCGCCAGCGCCCAACTAACATTTTCAGCTTTATAAGCCAACTTTTCCAGCGTTGTGCTGTAAAGTAGCTGAAAAGAAGCTGCAGATACAGCTACAAGGAGAAGCTAGCAAACTAGTTTTGAAGAGCGTTTACTCAACTTTTCACAACCATTATTCAATGTGTCAGTCGTACTGAAAAACAGCAGCCAATAAACGCTAATACCACTTCTATGCAAATATTAATCAACTTTCAACTGGTAGCTGCAAAACAAAGCTAACAAAGTGAATATATTAATCATTTGATGGCTTTTATACAACCAACCACTCTTGCTGAATAACATAAACATCAAAAGTGCTTTTTCAACATCTAAACAACCTGTACTCAGCTAATAAACTGTGTTAGCGCTACTTTGGAAGCATTTTTACAGTCAACTTGGTTTATTTTTAGATGTATGCAGTTTTACAGCTCCTTTACAAAGCTGAACTAACTAGTCGAGAAAAGTGATTCAAGTGCACTATTATAAAGCCTCTACTCTACGGTATTATTGTAGAAAGTCATGTATATTTGTTTGCCTCAGTTCAATGTGTTGGCGTAGCGAAGATGGTAGTGTCAAGGTTTGCCAATACGGTCGTCTCGAGTTCGATTCCAGGTTCCGGAGCAGGGTAAAGGGTGGTGTGCTTATAACTGATTTCGATTAATTTGATTCTCACAGCAAAATAAACTCAATCAATTCCTCCAACAAAAAAAAGCGTAGATAATGTTTAACCCGGCTTCAAGAGAAAGCTGTGTAGTGATTATTGCATAATCGGGTAAAGGTTGAGTAAGCGCCTTTCAAGTTCACACACAACTTAAACAGCAGGATAACAGCTGTATAGAAGCGTAAATAGATATGCAATAAGAGCTTATTCCAACCGTCACAACAACTAGAAGTAGCTGACTAAGTTCGCCAGATTTTCTTGTACACTGAAACCTCCGTTTACTAACCAAAACGAGGGTTCGTAAATCGAATTAGTGAAAAAACCTCGTTATTTGGATGGGATTTACTTCGTAAAAAGAGGTTTTTGAAAATATTGTCAAATACCCCACAATATGGGTATTTTTGGAATCGGAGCGACGTGTAGGGACCGGAAATCGATGTCTGACGCCATTTTGAAATGCAAGATGGTGGCTTCCAGTAAAATAATAACTTCGAAATTCTGTCAAATACCCCACAATATGGGTATTTTTGGAATCGGAGTGACGTGTAAGAACCGGAAATTTATGTCTGACGTCATTTTGAAATCCAAGATGGTGGCTTCCGGTTACATAAAAACAGAAAAATAATGTTAAATAACCCACAATATGGGTATCTTAAGAATCAGGGTGACGTTTAGGGACCGGTAATCGATGTCTGACGCCATTTAGAAATCCAAGATGGCGGCTTCCGGTTTTTGGAATCGTACTGACCTGTGAGAACCGAGAATCCATGTCTGACGCCAAGATGTTGACATCTGGTTACAGAAACACTGGGAAATACTGTCAAATACCCCACAATATGGGTTTTTTGGAATCGGGGTGACTTATTAGGACTGAAAACCCATGTCTGACGCCATTGCGAAATTCAATATAGCGACTTCCGCTTACATATAGACATAAAAATAATGTTAAATAGCCTACAATATGGGTATCTTAAGAATCGGGGTGACGTGGTGGTATTTGCCAATTTTTCTGTAACCGAAAGCCGCCATCTTGGATTTCTAAATGGCGTCAGACATAAATTTCCGATTCTTACACTTCACTCCAATTCCAGAAATACCCATATTGTGGGGTATATAACAGAATTTCCAAGCTTTTCTGTTACCGGAAGCCACTATCTTGGATTTAAAAATGGCGTCAGACATTGATTTCCGGTCCCTAAACGTCACTCCGATTTCAAAAATACCCATATTGTGGGGTATTTGGCAGAATTTCCAAGTTTTTATGTAACCGGAAGCCGCCATCTTGTATTTCAAAACGGCGTCAGACATCTATATTCGGTCCCTACACGTCACTCTGATTCCAAAAATACTCATATTGTGGGGTATTTGGCAGAATTTCGAAGTTATTATGACATCGATTTAAAAAATACCCATATTGTGGGGTATTTGGCAGAATTTCCAAGTTATTATGTTACCGGAAGCCACCATATTTGATTTCAAAATGGAGTCAGATATTGATTTCCGGTCCCTACACGTCACCCTGATTCCAAAAATACCCATATTGTGGGGTATATGCCAGAATTTCCAAGTTTTTATGTAACCGAAAGCCACCATCTTGGATATCAAAATGGCGTCAGATATCGATTTCTGGTCCCTGCACATCACCCTGATTCCAAAAATACCCATATTGTGGGGGTATTTGGCAGAATTTCCAAGTTTTTCTGTAACCGGAAGTCGCCATCTTGGATTTCAAAATGGTGTCAGACATTGATTTCCGGTCCCTACACGTCACTCCGATTCCAAAAATACCCATATTGTGGGGCATTTCGCTTTTACATTGCGAAAATTGTAATTAGAAATTTTTACAGAAATTTGTAAAATTTTACCGAAATCTCAACAGCTAAACATTCGGTAAGCAGTTTGACAGACTTTTTGTACTTTTTCACAGAAAATCTGTGATTTTTTTTACAGAAATCTGTGAAATAATCTTAGTGTGTGGGCGTTGTTTTCGAAGAAGTACGGACCGATGATAACTCCGGCCTAAAATGCACACCAAACAATGACTTTCTGGGGATGCATTCCCAACAAACAATTGAGAGCATTTAAAAAACATCCAAGTTGATTAAACGTTGAATTATTGCTTCCAGAGCTGAACAAGAATGTAGCTGTATTGTTTTTTGGATAAAAGCTTTTAAAATTGAATGGGACGCTTTTAAATGATTATCTGCATTCTGTTTAATAACATGCTTTATATGACTTGCGAATCCTTTTATAGCTCCCCAGTTCAATCGATTGGCAATAGCTGAATAGAAAGTAGAATAATAGCATTAAACTAAATAAAAACTTCTCCTATGCAACTCTATGTAATGAGTTTAACACAATAATGAAAAATAGTTTAACTAGCCATCACTGGACACATTATTAAACTATTCTTAATTGCGCTGCCAATGAAGTTGTACTGAAACTTAAGCAGTTATGTAATCAACTCTTAATTAACCATTTTAATTACACGTATTTATTGCTTAAAAACCGTGGTATAAGGATCATTCGTTCAAATTAAGTAGTAAGACATTAACTGATCATACTGAACAGGCGCTCTACAATCGTCACAAAATCAATCTTTGAAATGATACTTTCTTCACTTTTTTAGCTGTATATGAGTGATGGTCATTAGTTATTCAGCTGAAGAAATTGGCATCCTACCACAAAATAACTTGGATTGTGCAATTATAATCGTTATTTTAGTTAAATATTGAAAGTAAATTTGAGTGAATAAGTAAAAAATATGGATAAAAATTTAAAGAAATACATGAAAAGTGGAACATACCACAGGAAACTAAAGTCTACTAGAGAAAAATACAAGCATATGTTTGAAAATTTGAAGTTAAATCTAGTTGCAAACCAGCAATCGAAAAATAATAATGTTGTGGAGTCACATCTTGAGCGCGGTATGTCAAATTGAATATAATTTTTGTTACAACAATAAAACATTTATAAATTTTGTAAATTAAAGGAATCCATCATCTCGACAAACTGGAATCTGAATTCTCTAACTATGTTAGAGAAAGTAGTCGAATTCCTTCAGCTATTTCGTCATATAACTCTCGTTTAGTCCAAATCAATGC